AATGTACATCAAATAAAGTCAGTGGCTCATCTATATAAAAAATGCGTAATGAAGTCATAATACCTTCCCTTTCTCTGTATTGCACTGGCTTTTGATATCCAAACAGGATGCAATGTAGATACTGATGTTAGGGCATCAAATGATTTCTGATATAATAAAAAAAAAATCCATTCACATGTACATTCAATGAAATGCAATCAAGTCTTGCTGAAAGAAAGCTTTTAGTTTCTGTAGACAAGTCACCTCTTTAACTTTGCCAGAGTCAATAACAAACACTACGTCATCTATAGTGACACTAGTTTCAGCTATGTTTGTTGACAATATCTTAAAAGAAAAAAACAACAACTGGTGTTATAATATAATATATTATAATCATAGTATTATCAAGATGTCAAGGATGAAAGGACTGAGCTTGGCCTTTGCTTTGCATTTTGTTTGTTGCTGTAATTGTGTTTTTTTTTTACTTACAATTTTACGGATATTGGATGGTAACTTTCTAAACACCTGTAAAAAAACACAGAATATTTTGTTTAATAAATAAGAAGACATTAGTTTTTAATACTAACATAATATAAAATAATAAGCAATGGAAGTGCGCCTGTACCTTCCTTTGCTCAGCTGGCTGCATACATGAATGAAGAGTGARCAACTGAWATCTGATGAAACAATTACAAAAACWTGAATTGTTAGCTCATTATTATGAGAATAACTGTGAAAATAGCTACTGAGCTTGAACAAAGAGCCACTCCAACTCACCGACTACTGTTTCCATATTCAGCATGACCAATAAGTTTATCTCTTAAAGTTATTATTTCATCATATCCTGGTAGAAATAYTAATACAGCGCCTACAACAAKACAACATAAAACCATTATGTTAGYRAAATGTTCCCCATTCTCRTCTTGACTTAATGCATTGTATGACAGTTTTACTGAAAACTACTTTGTGCTGTAAAAGCCATTGTTTATGTTGGTTTTGTATTGATTTTATTCACTGGATAAGTTTGATTAGCACTGTTCACCCRTTATACAACTTGTTGATGCTGCTGTTTATTATGCTACAAGAGATTAACATACCTTGTTTTCCAAGGGAACAAATATAATTCAAAAGGCTCAGAATTAGCTCCAGATCAACCTGATATGTGAAAAAATATAAGTTGAAATCACAATGGCAAASTAAAATCAGTGTTTGTAATACCTACATGAAGAAAAACAAAAAAAAATCAAAATTTTAATAACTGATTAAGTTTATATAATATTACACTTCTCTTACTCTGTCATCATCGAATGTCTTGTGATAAACTTCAAGTAGTTCCTTTGCTTCATCACTTAACTCTGTTGATTGTTTCTCTAGTGAGATATCTTCACAGTATGTCTGAGGTGATGCACTTGTGCAAGAAACAAATATTTAAATTAATATTCAGTGTTTACAAGTGTTTGCTGTAAAGCAAGTTTATTGTAATTTATTAGCCGCAGGGATTATCTATGGTCGTAGTATTAGTACATGCAGGTGTCCATAATAATAATTATTTTTAATATCATGCAAGATGAGAGTTGGCAGCAGGTTGGAGAGTACATACATATAGGCTTCAAGCATTTCAATGACTTCTGATTGCTCCCACTTTTTGGCCCAATCCAGTGCTGTCCTGTTGATGTAACTACATTTAGTAACTGACAACAGATAGATAATTATAATATAGATATAACCTTTATCTAAAAGTCAGGGTAATCYCGTCAGGATCTGAAGGGCTACGTGCTATTCACAACTTTCCATACTCAGGTTCATTGACCATGAACAAATCATTGAACAAAGTACACTGAGTGGAGATCTTTTCTTTTATGTTAACTGTACCTGATGCCTCAGTCCAATGGTTTGTTCATGGTCACTAATGTATTAAGAATATTGTGAATCAATTGAAGCCCTGAGTATAACACAAGAGCACAAAATCTCATGTATATCTCAGTTTATAGTAAGCCTTGTTCAAGCATATTGCAAGCAATAATATTGTTTACTTGGTTATCACTATTCAAAATTTAACATTGTCCTATTACCAGTTATTTTTTGGATCTTTGACATTTGGATTTGCTCCCAGTAGAATAAGCTGTTCCACAACTCCTGTGCAGCCACGACCAGCAGCMACCATWAGTGCTGTCACCTGTGTTTCTGAATGTTGGTAGTCCACTGTAATTGTAAATAAACRTGGGTATATTACTTCCAGTTGCAATCCTACTACTGTAGTTCTATGCAACCAAACATTAATTCAATTAGTTCAGTTTCCAATAATTCTGCTTTAATTCTACTTGCCACTAATGTTTTCATTCATAATCAAATGAAGAATCTGTACAAARGAATCTTCACTCCCCTATAAAATAATAWAGTACAGTTAATGGAACCAACTATGCAACCAATGCAATATCAACGTCAGTGTACTAATAAAATAACATATTGATTATTCCTTACATTGAGCCATGCATCTGAGATGCTTTCATCCATCTCTTTTCTAAGGTATGAATCTTCTTCATCTTCGTCATCCTAATAAGCAAACACAACGAACTAACTGATAAGGTCAAAATACAAAGAAAGGAATAATACCATATCATAGACTGCTTTCAAATTGGTAAAACAACATCAACTATATATGAGTCCTTTGTTTATGCTCCCTATCAGTCCCAAAACTGATCATTTTCAAGAAAGAATTKTGCTTATTAAACAGATTTTATACCTCAGTTTGATTTGTAGAATCTTCAGRCTTTGGGYCAATGTTGACAGCCTCAGTTTCCTTTGCAAGATTCTTGCCCTCAGACTCATCATCACCATCATCATCGTCATCATCATCAATGATGATATCATCACCCTCATCATTTCCATCATAACCACTATTGGAAATGTCATCGTCGCCATTGACATCATTACTGTTGTCATCAGTGGTATCATCAGTGATATCATCAGTGACATCATCAGTTGCGTTGTCAGTGTTAATGTCCTCATCACCATCATYAATGATGTCATCATCCTCTGGGAGTAGAATGCCAACATCTTCTGGGAGAACGTCTTCAATGTCAACTTGATCATTGTCCTGTGTAGGAAAAGTGGATGCAGCCTCCCTCTCTGAAAGGTTAAAAAAAATTACAGAGGTTGATAATTATACTGTATCATCAAGTGGTGAAAGATGTAATTGCRAATGCAATTTTGGTTTATCAGCGCTCAAATCAAGGATTTTTCAATGGTTGATTAAAATATGCATTTCTCATTTTTGTCAATAACTGAGGGTAAAAACCAGCCTATAACACAAAGCTGATAGCGTTTTAATTATGCTAACATTGTGCAATACAGTACATACATGTAGACAATGATACCTGTTTCATCTAATTTAGTTTTCTCATCATTTTCCTTTTCCTCTTCAGTCTTTGATGATGCAATTCTTAGTCTTTCAATATGCTTTGCACTTTTGTCCAACAGAACACGAACTAAGAAATCACAGTAAGGATTTGCTAAAACGTTTTTCAATCAAAAATATACTGATATAATCATAATTAATTGCTGACAGAATAAATGTTGTAAACTAAGTATATTTTCTTGACATTTGTCGGACTTGGACCTTAAAGGAGTTTCTAAACTTCATATTGTAGGACGTCAAAATAATTTCAACTTTTATCCCTCCTTTGACACACAGAAAACACAATGTTCCTCAAACAATGTGTTTTCTGTGTGTCAAAGGAGGGGTAAAAGTTGAAATTATTTTGACGTCCTACAATATAAGTATATTTTCCCCAGTAAAAACTTTAATTTGCAAATTATTGCCATTCACAGGTAAAAACATTTTTTTAAATTGTACCTTTATCGTCTCCTTTGAAATGCTTTTTCATTCCTTTGTTCTGGTACCCCGTTCTAGTAAATACAAAAAAAAAAAAAAATTAAAAAACATTTTTAAAAGAGCTTGTCACTTACAAATAGTGATAAAGTTAAAGAGGATAGTTCTGTTGTTAATCATAGTTGGATGGATTATGGATGATTTGTGATTTAGTATAATGACACTCACAAGCCAAGAATGTCTTCAAGGAATATTTCCTTCACTTCAAAACATCTACCAGGAACTAAAGCAAAGAAAACAATATCATTAGTTGTGTGTGCCTTAGCTCTAGTCTTACATAGTGTAAAAAAAAGTCATATGAATT